GCCCCTGTGCCCCATGCCTTCCCATTGCTCTGTCAGGCCTAAGCTCACAGCTTCCTGGTTGGGTGTGCTGGGTGCTGCCTTTATCCCACCAGAATTCAAACTCTAAGTCAGCCCCAGTACTGGGGCACAGCTGCAGCCCCCTCCGGCCTGGCACCCCAACCCCGACTTCCACTCCCCTGGCGTTTCCACTGCTCTGCCCTGTGTGGCCAGAGGCAAATTTGAAACATCTCCTGTCCGGACGTTTTCCCTCCACAGGCCACTGGCAAGGAAGCTTGGGCTGCGGGAGCCACGGCCGGCCTGCTCCCTCTTCACCTGCCTGTCTTCTGCTCTGTCTGCCAGGCTCCTGCCGCTCCAGCGAGGTGGGGTCCTCCTGCCCTTATGCGTGGTGCGGAGTCTGGGCTGAGTCTTCCTGAGGGCCGGGAGGGCCAGGCCAGCAGGTAAGCAAGAGGAAGGCGCTCGGAGGGGTCGCAGGTGGCCAGGCAAGTCCAGGGCGGAGAGAAAGGCGGGGAGTCGGTGCTGGGCAGGGCTTCCCTAACTGCTGTCTTCCAGGCACGGGCACTTCCTCCCTGGTCCTCCGGGTCTTTGGAAGTAAGCTCCGGGTAGCCAGGGCCTGGCAGGTCTGGCGGCCCTCCAGTGGCCCCTCCCCATCACCGGGGCAGGCCTAGGCCACACTGGAATTCCTCCGTGGGCAGGGTACAGAACCATGGAAACAGGCCAGGCCTCAACGACAGTCAGCTGGGCTGGAGGGCCACCAGTGCCACCTCTCCTGGCTCTTCCAGCTCTCAGCAAGGAGGGGCACAGGTGACAAAGGTGGCAAGTGACAGGCAGAAAAGCATGCGCCCCGTCTGCCCTGCCAGCTCTCAGGGGCCTCCTGGCGCTCCCATACCCCAGGGGGGCCATGCCAGATCATTCAGGAGCCTCGGAGATGTGCTCGCCCTAACCTCCGTGGGAGTGAGACTCCTGCTCCTCCTCCAAAGGCCAGACTGAGGCCCAGGAAAGGTTGTGACCTGTCCAAGGAAGGCCACACAGTGAGAAGGTGGCCCAGCCTGGGCTCGGCTGGGGGTCTGTGCGTGCCAGGTCCTGTGAGCCCAGCTCTGCCTCCGTCATGGGGTGCTTATAATTTCATGTTGTCTCAACATCCGTTTTTAAATAGAAGTTGAGTCACCCTTGACAGTTTCTAATGCCTTTCCCCACTCCAGTAGTGCCAGCTGGTGGCCAGAGATAAGAACGCAGAGAGATCTCTCCCTCCCAGCAGTCTGGGCTCCCGCCCCCTTCCTTTAAAGGGACCATTCAGATGTTTGCCTGTAGAAGTGTCACTCCCAGCCCCACCGTAACACTGTCACCGGCCCACCACGTCCAGCTGCCGCTGCTCCCGGCTAGTGGAACAGGAGGCAAGGCTGGAGAAGGGAGTTCATTCTTTAGGGGCTGGAGGGAGACGGCGAGTGAGCACCCGCAGACGGCCCGGAAAGCTCGGCGTGCTCTCGAGCAGGTGTAGACCCTCCTGCACAGCAGCCAGAGTCTGTGGCCCTCCCTGGGAATGGCCCTGCTTCCCTCAAACACCCACGCTGGCTCCCGTCTGACCTTTCCTCACGTGCCTTCCCAGGACTCCGTGCTGGGTCAGGGGGCTCTCAGTAGAGGCCCTGCCTGTGTGCACCTCCCAGGGCATCCTGCAGGAACTGGGGGACTAAAACTTGCACTTTCACATTGTAGTGGCCACTGAAGTCCCTGTGAGGCCACCCTTGGGGGCTGGGGAGGAGGACCCCGCTGCTCCTCTGGCTAGTTCCCACTGCGTTGATAATGAAACCCTGACCTCCCTAACACCGGGTCAAAGGCTGACTCCATGCACCTGGTAGGGGCAGGGCTGGGAGTCCTCCCATCTGTCCACACTGGGAGGTGAGACAGGTCTGGCGGCCCAGCCCGCAGTATCTGATAGCTCACTGTCTGCTCATGACCTGGGGCAGAGCTTGGACCAGCTCTGTCTCAGATAAAGAAGCAGAGCCCACTGGAAACTGCCCAGTATCCCACTGGTGACGGGCGAGCCGGGATTCGAATGGAGGCTGTGTCGGCGAGATACGTGTGGGCCAGGGCGGAAGGTGGTCTAAGCGGAGCCTCTGCGAAGCTGGGAGGGGGACTTTCAGTCACCAGTGGACACTGCCCTCCATGGAGCCAGCTCCCTGTGCCCAAGAACCCCAAACTGGGGGCGCTGCTCTGCCATTTCACCCCACTGGCCTCTGGGAGGGGCCCCACCAGCAGAGTGTGGGGTGGCCAGGCTCCTCACAGGCAGCCTCAGGACAATCAGCCTGCCGCTGGGTGGCACTGTGGCCTCAGGAAGGGACGGCACCGGAGGAACGCTGCCCAGAAGGGGGGTGCCACTCAGCACTCGGTCCCTCTTCTGAGACCGGGCAAGTGGCTTTTGAGCTAGGGTTACAAAGGGTGAAGAAGTAGCGCCCGCGTCGCAGGACAGGGGCAGACACGGACGCCAAGTTAATCACCCTGTAAGGGACAGTCGGCCCCTGCCGTAGGGGCAGCCCTGCTTCCCAACGCGGGCCCCAGGGCAGGGGTGGCATGTGTTCCTGCATGTGGGGTACCGGGACAGGTCATTCTAGGACAGGGTGGGAGGAGGGGGCAGAGGGAGTGCGGGGAGGTCCCTGAGTCCCGAGGGGGCAGCCTGCAGGGAGCGGGCAGAGGGTAGGCCCAAGGCTTTGGGGCCTTGTCTCCATCAAAGTGCTTAGCGAGGGGGCGTGGAGAAGAGGCCTCTGGTTTAGATATAGATAGAAAAATTGGGGAACCCCCGTTTCCTGTGGGCAAAGGGGACACCTTGCCTTCTGTCCTCTTCTGTGCCTTTCTGGGGCGTGACCTCAGGTCCCAGGTCTGGTCCCAGCTTGCCCTATGGCCTTGGCTGGGACACCATGGCTCCTGGACTCAGTAACTGCTTGTGGAAGAAGGATACTTTGCACAAATATGTTGGAAAATGAAAATGACTGTCCAAAAACCACAGGGTAGAGAAAAAGCAGCTGCTGCTGTTACCCCAGACCTGAACGTGGCCCGGTGGCTGGCGGCAGGTGGGCCTGCCTCAGCCTTTTGCTAAAGGTGTTTTTCGTGCCTCTTGCCCCCTTCGATTGGGGTACTCATTCAATTTGTGCATATACCTTCCATGTACTAAGGATGGTACCACCCGATACGCTGATGATGCTAACAGCAAGGCCTGACTGCTGGGAAGGTGAGACACGCCCCTTCTTAAATGTGCAATCGGAGATACGTAAGGGGAGTTCAGAGGCACCAGGTGCTGCAGCGGGGCAGGAAGGGTTCTGCGGAGCAGTCGAGAGACAAATTCTCAGGCCCCCAAAGTCACGGAAAGCACATCTGTGCATGAGGGCTGCAGACCTCAAGGAAGCCCCCGGGGCCCTCGGAACCTAGCCGTCTACACATAAAGCCGAGTCCTCTCTGCAGTCTGGTCCCGTCTACACAGCTCCTGGTCAGTTTTGAGACTCAGTTTATACACTCTGATATGGTAGCTGAAAGTCTGGGCCACGTTTATTTCTTGACCTTATTGCTGTACAAGTCTTTAATCCTTACTTTCAAAAAAGTAATTGCTTAGGCGCAAGCAGAGATGAGACAGAGGGTGCAGGGCCCGGAGGGCTTTATCTCCCTTAATCCCCGGGGCTTCCCGTCTGCCGACCTCCTTCCCTCCCCTTCCCTCCACCTCGTTATTCAGATAGATAGCACAGAAGTTTCGGCAGTCTTGCAGTGAAATGCACAATCAAAAGCGTCTTTGGAAAGCTGCAGTTCTGTCCTGTACTTGAAGAGGCTACGTGAGGCTAGCTTGCAGCAAAGCCCCGAGGCTGCTCCTGCGTCCGCCTTTGGTGGAGGGGGCAGTTCCTCCAACAGGTGACAGGCTACTCGCTGGGGTTGCCAATCTGACTCAGGGCTAGACGCCGCGGAGGGAGTGTAAAGGGGAGGCCCCTCCTGGGCAAACTCTCAGATCCTCCAAGTCCCCTATCCTCTCTCACCAGCGTCACTTGTAGATGACAAAAGGAGGTGCAGAGTTTCTGCCTGAAATGAGCCACCCTGCCAGGCCTGCCACCTCGGAGGCTGGGACGCCGGGAGAAAGCTGTGTCCTTCGGGTGTGTGGAAGAGACTTCAGTTACGCTGTTCGGGACACTGTAACAGTTAGCCACGGAGCAGGAGGTGTGCACACCAGCCAGAGGCTGGCATGGCAGGAAAGGTGGCTGACTCCCACGCGGCCAAGCTTGTGGTCCAAGTCCCAGACCCGATGGCTAGGGACACACACCGGGGTGTGTGCGTGCAGCCCCAAATCCCCAAAGGCGGGAGAGACGGAGGAGGAGGGAATGAGGCATGACCTTCTCCACGGGGGAGTTTTCTTCCTCCTCTTTCTGTCTCCAGCAAGCGCATACTCTCTCTGGCAAATTTTTTTCAAAAAGAAAATTTTTGAAAATGGAATAGGCTTTGTTCCATCTTCAAAACTGAAATGAAAATGTATGTACTACCCATGAGGCCTGTGGCTGCCTGCTGGTAGCCGGGCCTGCTCAATTTTAGGATGGACTGTGCTCCGAGGACAGAGCCTCAGCCCTGCTTCCCACGGGCCCTGAGCACAGCTGAGAAGAGAGGCCCCCCGCCCAGGCTCCCACCTGCCAGTGCTGGTGACACTGACTTCCCTCCGTGACGGGGCCTGAAATTCATACGGTCTTTCTTTTTCCCTTTTAGTTGCCAGAGGGTGCACACACTAGCAAGAGAGAAAACGAGCACTCCTCAGTGCTCCTCCTCCTCCACTTCTCCATCCTGTCAGGATTTGGGGCACACGCACACACGTGCCCAGCATGTTTTTCAAGCTGCTGGGGCTGAGATTTGTGTTTTTGTTGTAAGTTTTTATTTTTCCAAATGTACAGTGGTTGTGCCTGTGAACGCGTCTTCCCCAGCAGCTGGGGCATTTCTGGGGTAATTCCCTGCGCTCTGTACCTGGAAGCGAGCTTGCCAAGTCCTTACTAAGGAGCGGCTGAAGTGCTGCCCTGGCCGGGAACCCCGAGTCTTCGGCCTCCCCGAGACCACAGCCCGGGTTATGAGCTATAGTTGGGAGCGTCTTTGCAGAGTCTGTCATATGGAGCTCTGTCAGACAAGACCAGGTTATTGAGCTTGTCCCGAACTTGGCCTTTGGGCCACGTCTTTTTGGCTTTGCCCCCAGGTTTGCTCACTGGGTCTTTGTTCTTGGCCGACTTCCCGGCGTCTTTCTTCTTCCTCTCATCCTGGGGTGGCATCGCAGAGCCAGGAGAGCAGCAGCAGCCACTGCAGCCTCACTAAGATCAGGGCTGCTATTTGAGCTGTGGCTGGCCATGTGGGATCCAGCTCCCTTAACGAGACCACGGGACCGTCCCTATGCAAGCTTTCAATCAACAGCAGTTCCAGAATTTCTGAGTGCACATGCTTTTCACCCAGCTGTCCCGTTTGGAGGTGGCAGTGGTAACAGTGCTCCGTGACCCTGGGCCCACACAGGGAGGCCGGGGGTCATGGGGCAGTCTCCCTGTACATGTCCAACAGGCCAGCATGCCCGTGATCCAGGCTGACTGGGGACAGCCGTAGAGCATGATCTGAAGGCCCTGTGAAGTAGGGTGCCCTTCCTTTTTCTCTCTTTCATGGAAGAAATAAATGTTTTTAAAAAGGCCACTCCATTTATCTAAATTTCCTCTGGAAGCATTTGCACAACTGAGCAAAGACGGATGTGCAAGGATGTTTCTTATTATTGGTACTTACTGTGTAGGTGAATTTAAGAAGCAGGAAGTCCATCACCAGTAAATAGATTTAGAAACTGTGGCTTGGGCCAGCAGGTGGCATGGTGGCTAAAGTGCTGGATTCCCATGTGGCCACCCACAGTTCAAGTCCCAAACCCAGTCACTTGAAAATCACAAGAGATAAATCGAGGTTTTAATAAAGAAAGAGAAACTATGGCTTACCCATATGATAGAGTACCATGTAGTCATCTCAAAGGGTGAGGTAGACCTGGAGTCCTGGATGCACGCCTGTGTGCCTGGGTAGGTCACCGGGTGAGAAATCCAGATTAAAAACTTGTACCTTCTCAGGCCAGCCCATAGCCTAGTGGTTAAGCGAGCCAGGTCTTCCATAGGCAACTGTGGTTCAAATCCTGGCCCGTGTGGCTTGAAAAACACACCAAGTGCATGTGCATGTGAGCCCCAAATCCCAGTGGGATGGGGAAATGGACAAGGGGTCGCAGCATGGCCGTGCTCCTCTGGGGGCTGCTCTCCCTCTCTGTCTCTCCGTTTTTCTCTGGCGAGTATACGCCCTTCAGCAATCAAAAAGAATCGTGGCTAGCTTAGGGTGCATTTAAAGTTTTCTGTTTAATATACTTCTGGATTAAAAAATTTGTTTCTTTTATGATATACCTTAGTATTATGATCAGTAAAAAATAGGGTCCCCATGACCCAGTGGTTAAGGAAGCTGGATCCCCAATCCCAGCCAAGCAGTTTGAAAACACCCCAGGACACGTGCACACGTGCCCCAGATCTCGGCAGGACGGAGAATGGAGGAGGAAGGGCCACAACATGACCACGCCCCATTGGAAGGTGCTTTCCCACCCTGGTGAGCCCACGCTCCCACTGGTGGTTAAAAATAAAAATAAATGTAAAAAGTGAAAAATAAGTCAAGTCGCTGAGAACAGATAATAACGGGGTTCCTGTTTGAAGAGAAAACAAGCATTCCAGCACTTTAACCTCCGGCCAGGCCAGAGGACCAGTCACTTCATCTCAGTCTCGCGGTGCGTGCCTCGACAGAGAGCGTGCCAGGGTCACACGGGCAGAGCGTGTGCTCGGGTCGCTCCTGTTAGGCGTTCCCCAAGGAAGTTTCATCTTGTCTTCCTTTGCTTTCACGGGAGTCAGCCCCTGTGCCCGAGATCATCAGGCAGAACTCTCTCGTCCTGTATCTTCCTGCCGCAGGCGCTGTCAGCACCCTGCCCCTGCCCTCTTACCCTTTATCATCTCATTGCTAGTTGGCCTGATTTCTGAATGCCAGCACCTGCATCTAATTGCCCGAAAACATGCTCTGCCCTTCGAAACAGGCCAGAAGTAGCAGCGTTAATGCTTCCTGGCAGCCGCCCTCTACTCTCTGGCAGGAGCTGGACAGAAATACTCCGGCTCCCTTGGTCTCCAAGGGAGCTGGCATTGAGGTGCTCCAGGCCAGCGTCCAGAGTCCCACGGAGGGACTCTCCCCATCGCCTGTAATGACGGCTTGCTTGGTAACACACTAGATTCTCTCACTGACCCACTCCCTTGCTGAGGTCTTCAGGGATTCCTTCCCCAATAAATAACTTTACTTAAATCCTTATCTCAGAGCCTGCTTCTGCAATTACTCAAACGAAGACACTGCGCTTTGTTGGAAAATAAAAAGCACCAGCCGGGACGAAGGAGCCCAGAGGGTGGGGGTGACAACCACACCTCAGTTGGCCCTTTGATGCTGGGTAGGGCTGTGACCGCCTGGGAAGATTCTCTCAAAGCGCTGCTTCTCTAGGTCAGGATTTGGCAAACATATTCTGTAAAGGTCCAGGTAGTAAATATTGGGTTTGGGCCAGCCTGTGGCCTGGTGGTTAAGGAAGTTGGATCACACATGGCCAGCCATATAGTTTGAGTCTCAGGCCCAGCAGATTGAAAAACATGCACATGTGCATGTATGTCCCTAATCCCCAAAGGAGGGAAAAACAGACGAAAAGGGACTGGGGAGTGACCGCACCCCATTGGGAGGTGCTTTCTCTCGGTTCTGTCTCTCTCTGGCAGGTGAAGTGACCCCTGGCAAAAAAAAAAACAAAAACAAAAAAAAAAAAAACCCCCCCCCGCGGAAAAAAAAAAAAAAAAAAAAAAAAAAAAAAAAAGAAAGAAAAGGGTTGAGGGGCCTTCTGGCCTTCCTGCAATCGCTGCACTCCTCTACACAGAAGTGCAGACAACATGTACGGGGGCAGGCCGGCTGTCCCAACAATACTTCATTTGCAGAAAAGGCATCAGGTCAGACGTGGCCCTCCGGCTGCAGTTGACTGACTCCCGGGCAGAGCAGTAGGGGACCCAGTGTGGGGTGCCGAGCAAGGCTGGCGGGTGCTGCTTGGGCTCCCTGGGCCCAGAGACAGAGCTCCTGCCCGAGCGGCACCTGGCTGTGCAACCGAGGCAGGAAATGGTGCACATCTCTGTCCACGGAGGCCACGCCACGTTTCACTCCCAAGCCTGAGAAAAGTTTTCTACTTCACTTTTATGCTAACAAACCCCTTCTTCCTAATGGAAAGTATATGGACCTACCAGGATGAAATAAAACTATACACACACACATACACATACTTACACACACACATACACACACATACACATACATACACACACACACAATACACACGCACACGCACACTCACACACATACACATACACACTCACACACATACACACATACACACACATACACACACATATACACACGCACATACACATACATACACACACACACACACACACACACATATAGAAAACCCACCAGAAAGGCAGTCAATATTTTTTGTTTGTTTATTTTGTGTATCTTAGAGAGATTTTTACTGTAGCACTCTTGTGCTCACCAGAGAGACAGAGACAGAGAAATAGAAAGCGAGAAATCACCCCGCAGGGGCGATGGCCACATCACAATCCCTTCTCCTCCTGTCTCCTCTCAGGATTTGGGGCACACATGCACACACACTCAGTGTGAATTTTAAGCCTTCGGGTCTAGGACTAGAACCGCGGTTGACGACATGGGAGTCCAGCAACATAATAATTACGCCATCTGCTGGCCCCAGAAAGTCAATATTTTAAAAGACATGTAAAATGATCAATTTTGGAGAAAGAAGGAGAAGGGATTGCAGCATGGCAACCCCTCTGGGGGATGATTTCTCACTTTCTCTCTCTAGAGAGCACTCGTGCCCTATAGCAAAAATCTATCTAAAAATAAATAAATAAATAAATTTGATGTATACTTTAAGACAAGAAATACGAAACTTGATTACAAATAATTTATGACACAATAAATGGCGTCTGCTTTTGGGACTTGGCACGCAGTGGACAGAGGCGTGAGAAAACTCTTCCTTTTGGTGCTGAACAGTGCAGAGCCCGATCCGCCACACGGGAGCTGATCCCAAGATGGGAGAAGTGAGGCTCGAGGTGGTGCAGGGGCAGAACGCGACACTGTGAGGCTGACCAGAGGGGGCGGTCCCAGGCTCGCGTCCACTGCGTCTGCACATCCATGACCCAGGGCTGGCAGAAGCTAGCAGGGCATTGGGGCATCTTGATCCAGACCAGCGGGAGTGCTTTCTTTTGCTCACAGAATAAGTAAATAAACTTAAAAAAAAGAAAGAAAGAAAGAAAGAAAGAAAGAAAGAAAGAAAGAAAGAAAGGAAGAAAGGAAGAAAGGAAGAAAGGAAGAAAGGAAGAAAGGAAGAAAGGAAGAAAGGAAGAAAGAAAGAAAGAAAGAAAGAAAGAAAGAAAGAAAGAAAAAAAGAAAGAAAGGAAGAAAGGAAGAAAGAAAAGAAAAAGGTGGTAAGTAAGTAAGACAATAGTTACGTCAGTAAGACAATAGTTCTCAATGGTGTAGGCCACCTAACCTGGTAACACACATTCTGGAAAATTTGCAGATAAACCAGCAAAACTAGTCATCCTTCCAACTTCCAGAAAGAATTCTCCCCAGCAAGGTTCAAGCAGACCCTAGGCCATGTTCCAAGGCCAGGGGTGGGAGGTTGGTTTGTGAGCTTGGCCCAGAAGGCAGTGAGCCCTGGAATAAGAATAGGCCATGTCAAAGTAGCTTTGTTGTCTTGGACGGTGCTACTGAGCCAGTGGGTCAGGAAATGCAGAAGACAGAGGTATGGCAGAAGCTTATTTTGAGATTTAACCTGGGGCCAGTCAATGACTTGGGGGTTAAGATGCTGGATCCCAGGGCTGGCAAGTGGCATGGTGATTGGGATGTTGGGTTCCCACATGGTCGACCGCGGTTCAATCCTGGAGCTGGTGGCTTGCTTTCTCACTTTCTCTCTCTCTCCTCAGAAAATTAAATAATAATAGTAATACTAAATAAAATTAAATAATTCTTTAAAAAAATAATAAAGATGCTGGAGCCCACAAGGCCAACTGTGCAGTCTGAGCCCCGATCCCAGCAGTTTGAAAAACATATTGAATATTTGTGCCTTCCTGCCCAAAAATCCCCAAAGAAGAATGAAGGAGGAGGGATTGCAATGTGGCCATCCCTTCCTGGGGGAATGCCTTCCTACTTTCCCTCTCTCTCTTTATTTCTTCCAGGGAGGGCACGCAGCCTCTGGCAAAATTAAAAAAGGAAAGAGAACACCCAGCAGGCCGGTCTCTGGGGCAGTCAGGGGCATACTGAACTGCTGTGCTGGAAGATAACTGTAAGTTCAGGTCCCAGTCCAGCTGACCTGGAAAGTGCCGGGTGTGGGCATGCGTGCCAAAATCTCGAGGGGCTGGGGGGCTGAGGAAAGCAGATCGTGGCGTGACGAAACCCTGCAAGAGCACTCCTCTCTGACTCTCTCTGTCTCTGTCTCTCACAGGCATGTGCACCCTCTCCACTAGGAGTAAGATAAGTAAGCTTAAGGAAAATGCCAAGGCACACCATAGACTGAACGAAATATCTCCAATGCTCACACCTGACAGAAGACTTAACCAGCACATAGAAAAAAACTTCCAGTCCAGGAAGGAGAGAAAAGGCCACTAAAATATGGACAGAAGCCTCCTCCGAGAAGATAATGTGAGTGGCCACTAAACAACGAGGAGGTGCTCGCCCTCTGTGATCACTGGGGAAGCAGACATTAAGGCTAGGATGGAGCGCCTCCGCACACCACATCGCCCCGGTGAGACGGGCCGCTGGTGCGTGGGTACAGACCGTCCGGGACATGCATACTCCGGAAGGGATGTGAAATGCTGAAGCCAATTAGAAAAATAGTTCAGAAATGATAGAGACCACCCTCTTCTCTGCACAAACTTTTCCCTTCTGCCATTTCATGAAGGGACTTTGGACTTTCCAGCCCAGAACGGGTCTTGCTATGTTGCCCAAGCTGGCCTCAAACTCGAGACTCTCCTGCCTCAGCCTCCAGAGTCCTGGGAGGACAGAACAAAAGGCTGCAATACCGCGCACTTCCCTGGCCGGACCCACCTGCTGGTCAGCATCTTGTCCTTCAACAGAGAGGGACGTGCTCCAGTTTCCTCCAGTTCCTGCGTCTCCACCATATCCCTGGGAAGAGTTGCAGTGTTCAGAAAAAAAAAAAAAAAAAGAAAGAAAGAAAGAAACAGCTCAACAGCACAGGCAGGAACTTTGAAACAAGAGAACGAGTTTGGGTGTGGTTGACGAACTGCCCCAGATAAATGTAAGACACGTAACTACAAATGATGGTACATGGCCAGGATTTCTTTCCCATACATGACCTAATTATAAAGTTTCTAAAATTGTTTATTAGATGTGCTTTTGCCTCAGAGACAGAATGAGAGAGAGGGAGAAGGCACCCCTACGAGGAGGTGGTCACGCCGTAATCCCCTCTTCATTTCCCCAGACCGTTGGCATTTGGGACATGCATGTACACGGGCCTGACGTTTTTCAGACTTCGGGAACCAGGATTCAAATTGTATTTGGCCACAGGGGACCCAGCTTCCTTCACCACTAAGCTATGGAACCACCCTCTTCTTTTCATTTTTTAATGATTTCTTTTCTGACAATCAATATACAGAATTATAAATCAATATTAAATAGAATATCAACAGTTTTTCAAACTCTTTCTTTTTTTTTTCCTTGAGAGGTTTTTGCTATAGGGCGTGTGCGCTCGTCAGACAGACAGAGAGAGACAGAGAGACAGAAAGCGAGAAATCACCCTCCAGGGGGGATGGTCATGCCGCAATCCCTTCTCCTCCATTTTCCTCTCAGGATCTTGGGCACGCACGCACACACGCCTGGCGTGAGTTTAAGCCACCGGGTCCGGGACACGAACCGCGGTCGACTACGTGGGAGTCCAGCGACATAGCCACTACGCTAACTGCTGGTCCCCAAACTCTATTTCTTAAACACTGTTTTCAAGTGTCATGAAAGGAATCACGTATCTCTTACATTACTTATTCCTAAGTCTGAGTTTCTTGATTTTGGATTTCATGAAACAGTTTCATATATATATTTCATATATATACATGGTGTGTACTCATATATATTATATATATAAATTATATATACATGAGTACACACCATGTACTCATATAAACAGTTATATATATGTGTGTGTGTGTATAGTATATATATACATTTTTAAACTAATTTTGCCAGAAATGCATGTTTAAAAAACAAAACCCACAGGGCCAGCAGATGGCGTAGCAGTTACGTCTCTGGTGTCCCACACAGCAGACCGTAGTTTGAGTACCAGACTCGGAGGCTTGATAATCACCAAACACGTGTGCCCAAAATCTGAGGGGAGAGTGGAGAAGGGATTGTGGTGTGGTCATATCCCCTGGGGGGTGATTTCTCTCTTCCTCTCTCACTGTCTCTGTCTCTCTCTGGTGAGTACACTTACCTTAAGGCAAAAAACTCTTTTTTAAAAAAATCACTATGTATATTACATAATTTGTAAGAGAAAGAAGCCTGGTCAAATGGAAAAAAGTGGAAAGGATATATAGTCCTTAAGTTGAATAAACAGTTTCACAAACAAAAACAAAACAAAATGAAATTGGCAGGTTTTTTAATATATATATGTAAATTTAGACATATTGTCAGGATGAAACTCAGCAATTGCATTCTCAAGAGAAAGGAAATACATTGTTACACTTGTACATGAATATCCATAATAGCTTTATTCTTTTTTAGAGAGATTTTTTTCTTTTGCTACAGGGTGGGTGAGCTTCCCAAAGGCAGAGACGGAGGGAAAGTGACAAATCACTTTGTGGGGTTGGCCACACCACAATCCCACCTTCCATTCTCCTCCCAGGATCTTAAACACATACCCTGCACCGGCGTGAGTTTCAAGCCTCTGGGTCCGGGACTAGAACCGTGGTGGGCCATGTGGGAGTCCAGTGCCTTAAGCACCATGGCATCTGCTGGCCCCTAAACGAATTTATTATTTATTTATTTATTTATTTATTTAATTGATTTATTATTTTCAATTTGCTACAGGACATGTGCACTCATCAGAGAGAGACAGAGAGAAGGAAAGTGAGAAAGCGAACCACCAGGTCCAGGACTTGTACGTGACTGACAGTGTGGGAGTCTAATGCCTAAACCACCATGCCACCTGCTGGCCCCCCTAAACTGTTTAAGTTTTCAAATTTGTCTAGAAAAATATCACAATTCATCTCCATAGGTCAATCTCCCTAGTAATAAAGACCTTCTGTGAATCAAAAAGTCAGACCATTTAATAGAAAGTGCAAAGGAGAAATGCATATAGCTTTTAGAAAAAAGCAACACACGTTGTCTTTAATCGTAAAAAACGCGCAGCTTCACTGGTAGCAAAAGAATCGCAAGTCGACACCACTCTGAGATCACGTTTCTCACCTACCAGATTGGCAAAGATCCAAAAAGGCTGACAGCATCCTCCCTCGCGGTGGGAAGACAGGCATGCTCATACACAGTGCATCTGGTTGCAGAATGGCATCTCCCACTGAGAAGGGAATCTGGCAATACCCAGCCTACACACAGCTGCACGTGCACTTTGACCCCACGGCCCCAACCGGGGAATGCATCGTGACAGATCTTCTTGCATGTAAGCAGAAAGCGTATTTACAAGGCGGTTGGTTGCACATTGCATGTATTCGCTGTAAGATTGTTTGTTGTACTACAGTGTTTACCAAGGTTGTCTGCTGTATGAGGAAGCTTATTTACTCTAAGATTGATTTTAATAGTAAAATAGCAGAAATACCTCCAAGTGTCTTTCTGCTGGAATTTGATTGAATGAGCCATGGTTCATCTATCTAGTAGCTATAAGAACTAACTAAATAAATAAAATAAGAAGCCTTTATTTATTTTTTAAATTTTGCTACAGGTCACATGTGTGAGAGCCAGAAAGAGGGAAAGTGAGAAAGCCCCCCCAGGAGGGATGGCCATGTTGCGATCTCTTTTCCTCCGTTCTCCCCTTGGGATTTTGGGCAGCATGCACATGCACCTGACATGTTTTGTAAGCTGCTAGGTCCTGGACTTGAACTGTGCAGCTGGCCATGTGGGACCCAGTCGCGTTAACCACCACACCACTTAGCTGGTCCAAAGCTCTTTCTATAATATAGTGACATGAAAAGTTCTGTAGAAAATAATGTTAAATGAAAAGGTAGGGCATAGAACAGTCAAAATATTATATAGCATGGTACCTGTTTTTATAAGAAAGAAAAGGAAAGAAGAATATCTGTTTATAAGTGGCAGATCCAATAGGATTTTGATGTCACAACCCACCCCTAGCTTTCGCCAGGCCTGAATCATAGGCAGGCGTGTGCCTTGTGTCCTCAGAGACATTCCCACATCCAGCTCAGAACCTCCCTCGCGGGCTTGCCCTGCACTGCTGCACTGGGCCACTTCTCCATCCGAACACCGTCGACTTTTTTTTTCTTTTTTTGAAGAAAATAGCAGAAATAGCAAAGCACGTGCGCTCGCCAGAAAGACAGAGAGAGACAGAAAAATAGAAAGTGAGAATTTACCCCCCAGAGGGGATGGCCACGCCGCAATCCCTTCTCCTCCATTCTCCTCTCGGGATCTTGGGCACGCACGCACACGTGCCCGGCGTGAGTTTAAGCCACCGGGTCTGGGACTCGGACTGCGATAGACTACATGGGAGTCCAGAGACATAGCCATTACACTAACTGCTGGTCCCTCACCCTTGACTTTTAAGAGTGCCAGTCAGGGCATGGTCGTTAAGGCAGCTAGGTCCCACATGGCCGACTTCGTGGTTCAAGTCCTGGACCCAGCGGCTTGATAACCATGCCAGGTATGTGTGCATACTTGCCCAAAATCCCAAAAGGAGGGAGAGATGGAGGAGAAGGGATTGCGGTGTGACCATTCCCCATGTGGGGGGGGGAGGGGCTTTCTCACTTTCTCTAACACT